TGACGAAATCTCGCGATGTTTCGCCGCTCTTCTCGCCGCCCCCCCCCCGCGATGACGCCGTCCAGGAAGCTGCGCACGCGCGCGGTGTTGCGGAAGAAGCGCCGATGGGCGCCGGGCAGCGGATCCAGCAGCGCAGGGAGGGCGTTGTACAGCTGGGGGTCAGGCCAGAGATGACCCCGTGACCCCGTGACCTCTGACCTCTGACAACACGACCCCGGGACCCCACCACACCCCGACCCCTGACCCCCGGGACCCCCCGACCCCCTTCTGACCCCGTGACCCCCTCTGACCCCTGCTCGCATGACCCCATGACCCCCTCTGACTCCCGACCCCCCCATGACCCCGTGACCCCGTGACCCCACCACACCCCAACCCCTGACCCCCGTGGCCCACTGCCCCCCTCTGACCCCATGACCCGGTGACCCCCCTGAACCTTGACACCCGTGACCCCGTGACCCCGTGACCTCTGACCTTGCCCATGGCGGAGCTCTCGATGCGGATGTTCTCGGCCATGCGGCGCAGCGCATCGCGGTACCCCGAATCCCCGTATGGGAAGCGGCGCCCGCAGAGCAGCCGCAGCGCCACGTTCCCCACCGCCGCACTCAGCAGCTCCGAGGGGTCCTGCACTGCAGCTGTGGGGTGAGGGGGGTGCTGAGCCCCATGGACCCCGTGGCCCCGTGACCCCCACGGTCCCCATAACCCTCGTATCCCTCCCCCACCGCCATCTGCCCCCATTTCAGGGCTCCACACGCCCCCCATTTTGGGGTCCCTCCCCATTTTGGGACCCTCCACCTCGCCTCCCCCCCTTCTCCAGTTCCCTGATCAGCTCAGCTGCCTCCTCCACTGCCATCTCCCCTCATTCCGGGGCCCCATCCTCTCTTCTTGGGGTCCCACACCCCCCTTAGGGTCCCTCCCCCCATTTTGGGGTCCCACCACCCCATATTGGGATCCAACACCCACGATTTTTGGGGTCTCTGCACCGTTTTTGGGGTCCCACCCCCCATTTTAGATCCCCCACTCACTTCCCCCCTTCTCCAGCTCTCGGATCAGCTCAGCCGCCTCCTCCATCGCCATCTCCTCTGCCCTCCTGCTCCCCATCCCCGCGTCCCGCAGCGCCGTCAGGGCGAATCTCCGCATGCTGATCCATTTGTCCCCGTTGCTCATGAACAGCCCCAGATCCGCGCTCAGCTTCTCCCCGATGGCGAAATGCCCCCGGCTGGTGAATTCGTCCCCCCTGGTCACCAGCAGCTCCCGCAGCGCCGCCACGCCGCTCACCACCACCGCCCGCTCTGAGCCCAGGCGCAGCGACAGCACCGGGCCGTAGCGAGAGCTCAGCTGGGGGGGGAGCAAAGGGGGTCAGTGAGGGTCAATGGGAGGCACTGGGGTCAGTGGGGGTCAGAGGGAGGCACTGGGGGTCAATGGGAGGCACTGGGGGTCGATGGAGGTTGATGGGGGTCAACGGGGTGAATGGGAGGCATTGGGGTCAATGAGAGTCAATGGGAGGCATTGGGGATCAGTGGGGGTCAATGGGAGGCATTGGGAGCCAGTGGGGGGTCAATGAGGGTCAATGGGAGGCACTGGGGGTCGATGGGGGTCAATGGGAGGTATTGGCGGTCGATGGGAGTCCCAGAATTGCGGGCTGCCCTCTGGGGGTCGCAGAATGCATGGGGTGCCCTATGGGCCCCGAGCCCCCCACACTCACCCTGCGGAAGGCGGCAGCCATGTTCCCGAGCCCCACCTGGGGGAGGTTCCCCACGATGGGCAGCGCCGGCGGCCCGGGGGGGGAAAGATGGCGGCTGCGCCCCCCCCCCCAGCCAACAGCGCCGGACCAACAGGGCCAGCAGGAGCAGCAGCAGCAGCCATGAGAGCCACGGCGCCTCCATGGGGCTGCGGGGGGGGGGAGATTGGGGTCAATGGGGGCATTGGGGGCAATGAGGGGACATCGTTGGGGTCAATGGGGGCGCTGTGTGACCTTGAGTGACCTTGGTGCCGGCGCTCTGCTGCTGCACCCTGTGTGCTGCAAACCCCACTGCTGCACCCCCCCCCCCTTCTGCAGGACCCCTCCCCCATTTGCAGACTTCATCTCCTTCCTGCACTCCGGTCCCCTTTCACAAACTTCATTTCCTTTTTCCAACCCCATCCCTGTTTGCAAAGCCCCCCCCTTTGCAAACTTCACCCCCTCTTGCAAGCTGCACCCCGTCCTTGCAATCCCTGACCCCTTTTGCATCCCCCTTTATCCTCTTCTTGCACCTTTACCCCTTTTGCAACCCCCCCCTTTACCGCCCCCCCTTTCCTCAACCAGTCCCTCTTTGCCCCCTTTATCCCACTTCCAAACCCCCTTTTGCAGCCCTCCCTCTTTGCCCCCCCCCTTCCTGCATCCCTCCCCCTTGCAATCCCTGACCCCTTTTGCAAACCCCCTCCCCTTTTTGCACCCCCCCAATTTTCGCACCCCCC